GGTCCAAATTTGTGTAAGGATTATGCTATGTGTACCCCAAGATTTGTACCCCAATTTGTACCCCGCAGTTTTGCACCAACATTTTGTGTTGGTGTAAAACTAATTTTTGTTAAACGCACCAACATTTGTGTCCGTGTGAATTTTTATTAACGCACCAACACTTGTGTCGGTGTAAACCATCAAAATGTTTGTGCAAACCTGTGGTGTACAAATGGGGTATATTTGTTGGTGTAAGTGTAGCATGGTCCTGTAAGAAATGCATGTTCTCACAAACACAAGGGATTCTAACACTCAAATTTTTAATAAAAAAAGTAGTCACTTTGTCCCAAATTTAACTACTTATTTACCATTCATGATTAAATTCTATTCATTTTTTTAAACTTATTTTTGTTACTCATTTGATAAAATATAGTTACGTTACTTTTTATTTTGTAGAACTTCTAATGTTATATATGAATCAAATACAACAATATTATATTTTAATTTTTTAATTAATTTCTAAATCTATTGAAAAATATCATAACTATTATACATATGCACAATTTTTTAAAAACAATTAATCTAATTGTGCAATGACATTAGAAACTTGTATAAATAAATTTATGCACTACAAAAAGTAATAGAAAAAACTACTATAAGAGTATTCTTTATCACATTTATTTCATACTAAAAAGTAAAAACTACACAGTATCACTTTATTAAATCTTATCTTAGCAGGTTGGATTTATGCTAGGTGAAGTTTGACCCATTTTTAGAGAGTCATTTTGTATTCAACAAACACAACTTTTATTCAAAAAATCAATATTTTAGCATTAGAACTCAGATCAAAATAACCTTTTTCAAATTTTGACAACTCTATCTATCATCATCCAGTTAGAAACTTACGCATGCTCCTTCTAATAGGATGTCCACTGTTCTAAGAACCATTTTAGTCTACACCAAAGTGTAACACTCAAAATTGAATTCACACATAATAATAAAATTGCATTCCTCCTAAGTACTTCCATGAGACATTAGTCCACTTTTTTTTTTCTTTTCAAAGTCACCCACCAAAAAAGTTGAGCTGACTTTTGGTGGCTTTCATCAATTGGAAGTAATTAAGACATATTAGGAATACTCCGCACATGTCGTACTCATAATTGCCCACCCACCACCTTTGGTTAAACATTTCCTAAGGGTAGCCAAATGATAAAGACGGAGAAATAACTGCTCGAAATCTTATGTTGTACTCAGTTTTGACTGAGCACATAAAAAACACACATATGAAACACATAAAACAAATAGAAAAGAATAACAAATACGACTGCTAGAAGTGTATGGCGGAGGAAATCAGAAAGAAACAAGAAAAGGGTACACTATTTAAGCACGTGTTGATCCCCACTGGGTGGTTGACCTGCCTGTTTACCATTTACCAAATTCAGACCGGCTAACACTTCTCAAAAGTTGAAAAATAAAATTGAAAAAGAAAATGGAATTGTATCCTATTTGTAAAACCTTTTTAGAGAAGGGAAACAGTGACAATTCTGAGCTTCTCAACAAAATCTTAGTGCTTATAGTACATGCCCACTAACTAAGAGATAATGCCCACTATCATACCAGCCTATATATGTTCACTTGAGCCACAAACAATGCTCACTAGGGGTCACATGATGCGATCGCCCGATTTACGTGGGACCTATTGGCAAGTTACTCACGCATTTGTTTTCTCTTGATTCTAAATTTCAGAACGAGGTGGAGGAGATGACGGATCTAGAGATGCTTCTAAGAAGACACTGCCAGTAATCTTAGCTTGTGGCGTCACGGTTGGTGTTGGTCTTGTTCTGCTTGCAGTCATGCTGACATTATTATTCCTCTCGAGAAGAAAGCAATCGCGCAGGGTCACAATGAGAACCGCAGACATGAGAAGTACAATACGAATGCACATTCTGTCTTCTCATTGTTCCATTCAGTAGTAGTTACACAACGCAATATTCCACACGTGCTCACATCTCTGTGTGACAATTGCAGGTTCACGCGACCGAAGTCAAGATCTTCTAACAAATGCAGCCGCGATCCCAGGTGTACGAGAATTTTCTGGCGAAACTATGACAGCAGAAGACTTTGATTTACCGCTGTTTGATTTTAGCGCCATTGTCATGGCCACCAACAACTTTGCAGATGCAAACAAGCTAGGCCAAGGCGGTTTTGGTTGCGTGTACAAGGTAATAAAGCAGTTATTCATATTCTACCAGATGGGGTTTTTTTCGAACTAAAAGATTGATAAGATTATTAGTATTGATCAGGGAATGGTGATTGAAGGTCAAGAAATAGCAGTGAAGAGACTGTCGAAGAATTCTGGGCAAGGGGTGGAAGAATTTATGAATGAGCTAAGATTGATTGCGAAGCTTCAGCACAGAAACCTTGTCCGGCTACTTGGATGTTGTGTTGATATGGAAGAGAAAATCCTAATATATGAATACATGGAGAACAAGAGTCTAGATTCAACTTTATTCAGTAAGCCCACCCTTCCCTTTTGAATGATCACAACAATGTGAGCAATTATACACACGCACTGTATTATATTCCCAGATTTTATCGATACCTAATATGTGTGTACACAGACAAGCAAAAAAGCTCACTGCTCAACTGGCAGACACGGTTTAACATCATTTGTGGAATTGCTCGGGGGCTTCTATATCTTCACCAAGATTCGAGATTCAGAATAATCCATAGAGATCTCAAGGCCAGCAACATTCTCTTGGATAAAGAAATGAAACCAAAAATATCAGATTTTGGGATGGCAAGAATTTTTGGGGGAGATGAGACCGAAGCAAACAATACAAAGAGAGTAGTGGGAACATAGTAAGAAAATCAAATCAGATGCTTTAACTGCTTCTTTCTGTAACCGACTTCCATTATTATTGTTCCTTGACATGTTGTTCTTCAAGCACAGTGGTTATATGTCGCCTGAATATGCAATGGATGGGTTGTTCTCAGTGAAATCCGATGTTTTTAGCTTTGGAGTTCTAGTGTTAGAAATTGTGACTGGGAAGAAGAACCGAGGATTTTACAACCAAAACAACCAGCAAAACCTTCTCGGGCATGTAAGTATACACAATTCCAACAAGTAGCCGGGGTTACACCATTCATTAGTGCATGATATGGTGTCACCAGAAGTGTGACAAGTGTCATCACTATGAGAGCACACTTGTCACAAATCTACCAGTCGGTGGTGTTACTAAGTCAATACCATTTCGGATAAAAAATAAAAATTCAAAGTCTTGTGTTTGGAAAATACCTTGGAACTACAACAGGAGTGTTAGTTGCATGCAGGCTTGGACATTGTGGAGAGAAGGGAGATGGCCAGAGTTGCTGGATTCAACCATAGGAGAAACGTATTCCCACTGTGAAGCGATGAGATGCATTCAAGTTGGGCTGTTGTGTGTGCAAGAGGGGGCAGAAGACAGACCCAATATGGCAACTGTGGGGTTGATGCTGAGCAGTGAGAGCGCGACGCTTCCCCAGCCTAAAAACCCTGGGTTTTGTCTGGGAAGAAGACCTGATGATATGGATTCATGTACCAGTAACAATTATGATGAAAGTTGCACCGTAAATCAAGTCACTGTTACTATTCTAGATGGCCGCTAGCCACTTGATAAGAGGTAATAGTGTGCCTCGTATGAGCGCAGCTTTAGAACTTGCAGATCATTTTAGTCTATCACCATAGACCTCTTCCACCAAGGTTTTCAGAGGACAGGTGTGATCCGCGAATTTTGCGTGGAACCATTTTTTGACATTGGGCCTTATTGGTATAATTGTATAGTTCAAGTTCACAATTTATTTCATATTTACCTTCTCTAGTGTGAATGTACGGTTGTGTAAACTTATGACCAAGAGGTATTCTTGTTTTTTTGAAAATTTTTGCAGCTTTTGTTTTGTTTTTTCTTCTTTGATAGATTGGTATAAATGCAAATTTGAGTAATGAATCCATAAGGGAGACCCAAGAGGGAGGTTTGGATTTTTTTTATTGCAAGGATTTTTTTTTGAAATAAGTGAATGCTTAAAGCAAATAAATATGGTATTAGTGAACAAATAAATAGGGATTAGGGTAAGAGACGCACCTCAAGTTTGAGAGTTGAACAGGAGTCCAGTTTTTTTGTTGATAAAATGACTTCATCGCCAGATGACAGCCCCAACAAAGATGGAATCCACCTACAAAACTCACAGCACATTGCAATTCATAGCACAGCAGTGATTGAGATTATTAAATTCATGCAACCTCTATGTAATATACAGTCAAGAATTGTATTTTTTGAAGTGCATTACCGCTACATCTTCGAGCCCTGTTGTGATTTTACCTTACCCACAAACCAAGAAAATAATTCAGATCATGTAGAGTACTCTTAACCCAAAGGGTTAGCTCAAGTGGCAAAGGAGTTTTTTTTTGTGGGGAAGATACTAGGGATAACCCAAGTTCAATATTCCTCTTGGACCAGCTCCCATGCCTCCGTTTTCAAAAAAAAAAAAAGCTCCCATGCCTCCCGGAGCGAACGAGGATCAGCCAAGTGGACCCAGACCATAAAACAGACGGAGAAAGACCCGGAACCTCGTGATTAGAATACTCTTGATTTTGGGAATAATGTAATCTGCCCTTATTTAGTGGTACCTCCCTATCTGCAACAGCCTCATTGACAAATGAGGCCCCTTCATTTATAGGGGCACTTTGTGGAAAAACAAATCATAAGCATTGATAGGATAAAAATGGATATATAGGACCATCCTACCGTGCCTTATAAAGAGGATTGAACATACTGATAGCAATAACTTAAAAGACAACTAATTTAGCAAAGATAAAAACGAGGAGTGTAAAGTGTGAACAACTTATCCTACTATGCTAATAACTCAAGGAAATTGTTACTCTGTGTTGAAATTTATTAATGAAACACCACAATAGAAAGGATACATCACACTCAATAAGCAAACACTAAATTGTTCAAAAACAAAACATATGTTTGTAAGGACCACATCAAAATAAGATTCAATCTAGAAATATAACCCGATAAATATTTCCTTTCAGAGTATCTAACTCATGTAGAAAAAGTTACAGAGGTAAATAAATTTACAAGGGCATAACAAACCAATAACAACCAAGGTGCATGAGCACTTGCATTCTAACTTGTACTTTGCCCAATAAAAAGTACTCTAACAGTTTCACGTATTTGTATAACAAAAACTACAGGGCAATCCAGACAAAAAAGAAACTCTAATATTTCAAAACTGCAGCAACTCACAATTTCCAGGGTTCATGAATTTCCAAATCCAATAGCAGCTGGACTACTTTTACGTGTATTAATCTTTTCAGGGCTTGGCAACCCAATCCTGTCCTCATATTTCTTTTCCAAAGCCTGTTAGCACCAGAAACAATAATAAGAGATGTATTGTTTAAAAACATTGATTTAGTTGCTATAATTTTAACACTTAGTCTTATGTCAATGTCACATCCAAGTTTCAAGAATGACAAGAGAGAGTATAAAAAAAGAAGAAGATAACCCTATGATTTCTTCACCAACCTCTAAATCTTTCCGTATACTGTCTAGGACTTTATCAGACATTCGGTCAAAGAAAAGAATTCCCTGCATAATTATAAACAATATAAAGTCAAGGTTAGTCTAGGGAAATCTAAATATTGTACGGCCTGCAACAAATCAGAAGAACAATTAGGGAGGAGACTTCAAAACAATGCATGTGAAAACAATCACGTCACATGTCTACAAACAAGCTAGTTGAGTACTGAAAGAGGTTTTAAGGATTTCCTTATGATGCAAAAGGAAAGGAGATTTGGTTGTGAAACTCAACGCATTCTGGAACTTTTTACGAGTTTCCCTTCTCATGGTTGGAGAGTTTTCTTACAGCTCTCTTTCTCCATTAATTTGTTCTGACTTCTGAATGCTTCCCATTATATACTAAAATGAATAAATTTCTCTCAATCTATACAGAAATAAAAGAAAATTAAAAGAAAAGGACTTCGTATTGTCAACTATGATGCATTTCCCAATAAAATTAAATTTTCAGCTCGCATTTCAAATTTATTGCCCCACATGAATTGAAACAACGATATAGAAAACTTCAGGCTACTCTATAAAGAAGAAGCACCTGCAAATGATCATATTCATGCTGGAACACCCGGGCGGGAAACCTTGTGAATCGAACTGTGAAAGTTGCCCCATTAATATCCTGTGCATCTACCTTCACAGAATCCGGTCTCTGGAATTGAAATTAAGACAAACCTAATCTGTCAAAATTTACTATTCTAAAGAGCATATAAGTGCGTTCAAAAAGTTCAGGCATCTAGAAACAATGCAGTTTACTGGCACAATGTTACTAACTAATTCCAAATACTAAAGGGAATAATTAAAGGTTTAGCATGTGGTAAGCTAAATCCATTTCCAGAGTTCAAATCCATCCCATCCTCTGTGATTCCTCTGGACCAACAAAAATAGTTCCTAAATGTTCCTTAAGTCTAGCAGATTATATGCATTAAAACAGTACACAGTCATTGAAAGGTTGGTAGCAAATTAGCAATGTATCCACCAGCCAATTGGGAGCAACTGAGACATAAATTCGAACAAATACAAATAATAAAAAGTACCCCTCATCTGGCATAATGCAACAATCAGCTAAACCCCGTACTTCGATACAGACCATACAAGGAGTCATATTGCATTGTCTTGAGCCTTGACATAAAGCTAGACTATAATTGCAGGCAAAAGAGCCAATTCCTAGAATTAAGGCTAACATGTGAGTGGAGGAACTGGAGTTTATTCTGCTTGAAACTACTATTCTTCCCAGAAAGAATGTGACAAAGAAGATGCAAAAATAGTTGATTATGGCCAAAAAAGTTAGTTTCCAAGGAGAGGAAGCACAAATTCATTGTCAACATAAGAATGCCTAGAAAATCACTACCACTCATAATAATAGTAATACCTCTACATCAGCATATATCTGAGGAAAAGACAAGCAACCTTCATTATATGGCAACACCTTTTGGGAGTATCGGGTGACGCGTGGATTTACGAGGACAATCTCCTTTCCTTCACCCCGTACACCAACCGGATTGAATACCATAACCTGAACATTTTTTCCAACTTGTGGTGCTGACAGTCCAACACCATCAGTTCTGCAGCAATGGAATGGGAGATATGAACCTCGGACTGTTAGCAAGTGGGAAATTATTGAAACAACCCAAAATCATAACATGCTCGCATAGATATTCATTAATTTAATTTCCAGTCCTTCTTCCTCGCCAGTGTAATTAAGAAGACCACAAAACTAACCTATACATTACATCGAACATTTCATCTGCTAGCTTCTTCAAATTTTCATCAAATGTTCCAATCATTTTGTTCTTCGCTCTAAGTACAGGATCTGGATATTCTACTATTTTCAGAGGCTCCTGAATATACAAATCATCCGCTAACCACAATTTTCCCAAATAAACAAATAAATAAATTATTTAGTCAATATAACTAAAGCTAGGAGTGAATTATTTCGACAAAAAAGTGGAAAGGTATCATTACGAGATGCAAATTCATCGCTGCTGAATTTAGAAGAAAATCCTCGCCGGGCTTGCGCGAGAACGGCGAGCCGGGGAGGTTTATTACGGCGTAAGGAATGACTGAGACGACAGCTAGTTGACGTGAACCGGTGGAAACGGCTGTAGCTACCGGGTTGCAGAGAAAACCGGCGAGCCACGAAGGACGAAAGCGTATATGGAGAAGAGTGAAGCAACGTCGCACCGGCCATCACAAAACGAAGGCACAGAACGGGTGAAGACTGAAGAGGGATGCTACGCACAGACGCTCCCTCCTTCGCCTTTTGCTTTGGCCAGTCTGCAGCCAAACACTTGGCTAAGTGGTTCGGCTTCGTACCAATATGTTGCACAAAATTATTTTGAGGTGAGAAATGTTAGATTTACAAATAAAATGGTCACAAAATTTATAAACTTATTATCTGTAAACTTTATTAAAAAAATTTAATGGTTTAAAATAATTTTAAAATAAAAATTTAAAACATAAATGGTAAATTTGTAGTGTTTGTGAATGTAGCATTGTTCTTTTGAGTAAGATAGCATCGAGAAAAAAGTCTCATTTAAAGTAAAGAAAGTTTCATTTTACAACGGTGTTAGTGTTTAGCATGCGAAAATGTTATCTTATACTAACTCCGTCCCAAAAAGATTTACACGTTTTGACTAAAGTTGAAATTAAGGGAGAGATAATTTTGTGTTGACTTTCCAAAAATACCCTTGATGTGATGGGTAAAAGTAGGATGTGATGTATAGATTATTAGGAAAAAAGTATGATGTGATAGGTAGGGTTTGAAAAAATAAGGGGTAAAAGTGATTTTTTAATTGAAATGAGTATGAGATTATGAGACACAATTTTTTTGAAAGGTGTAAATCTTTTTAGGACGGATGGAGTAATAGTTATAATAGTAATAATAATAATAATAATAATAATAATATAATTATTAATAATAATAGTAATAATAATAATACTAGTTGTAATAATATCAATAGCAATAACAATAGTAATAGTAATAATAACTATAATAATAATAACAATAATAATAATATTGCTTCTATTCTTTTACTTTTTATCATTTTTTTACCTTTTTTGAATACCCTTTAAATCCCATCCCCATTGTGAATTGTGATGGTCTAAGAATTAATACTCCGTATATCAGATACTGCTTGTCATGGAAGCAAAGGGCAACTGCACATGTAGATGGAGTAACATGCAAATATGCAATAGGCAGTTCATTTCACATATATATCTCATATATATGACTAGCAAAATCTTTAATATAATACTCACCTCGGCACTTCCTTTTTCATTTTTTCCACTTCCAACAAAACACTTCTCCTTTCTATTAAAAAACCACTTTTACCCTTACTTTTTCATACCCTACCTATCATATCATATTTTTTTTTAATAATTTATCCATCAGATCTTACTTTTATCCATCACATTAGGGGAAAAATTGGAAATCAACTACGGAGTATAATTTAACAGTTCATTATTTTTGTCCCAAATCAAAATGAAAAGTCTTTTTGCAAACGGAGGGAATATATACTTTAATTATTAATATTTTTTATTCATATATAGATATATATTATAAAAATATGAAATTTTAAAATTATATTTCAAGATAAACTTATTGATACTAATTAAACTAATTAACAACAATTAATGTATTTTTTTCGTGACTTGTAATCAAAATTTTATAAAATTCACATTGCAAGTAAAGATTGGAAGAATGGTGAGGAAAGGGGGGATAACCTCCTACTTCGTTGGGAGCTGTTTCATATACGCTGTCGTACGTATATATACTTTTGATATCCCATCATCCCACAATCTCGATAACCTATTAAAAGTGCCCAAGTATATGTGGATACCCTACTTCCTGTGCTCCCAATAGAATGGCATCCAAAAAGAATGAGCTACATCTTCCAGAATTCCTTCAGATATAGACAGTTATAGAGAAAAATTAAATTAAGCTTTGATTGCAAATTAGTGTCAGAGAGTACGAGGAGCTTATATACGGAGTATGATATTTGCAAATAGCCTCTGGTTAGTTAGTGAGCATATATAGTTGTCCCCCAACCTAGTTGCCAAAAATCAAACTCAAGTCTATCCTCTTAACACTCTCTACATTTGCCAACTACGCAACCTCTAGTGACAATGAATATGGATATGTGAAGCGTGCCAAATTAAACGAAGACACCAACAATGACTAGTGGGGCCGTCCAAAAATTTAGACACCCTATACATAAATACATAATCTTTGGTCTTAGATTATTTGTCCATTTTATTTGATTTTTTTGAGTCAAATTAGACAAATTTTATTAATTGTTAATTACTCTAAATTTTTTATTTCATATTAATACAATGAAATAAAGTTTAAAATTTCTAAACAAGTTAAATCTAATAAAATTATTTTTATACTAATATATATTGTATTTTTTTACATAATTATTGATGCTCAAAATTTGTCCAGTTTGACTTGAAACAGTCAAATTAGACGAATATTCTAGGACGGTAGTTGTATATACTTATTGAGTTTGCGGTGTAATTGTCAAATTTAATCTTTTGTAATCTAACTGAAATGACTAAAATTATTAATTAAATACTTTTTTGAATATTTTTAATATAGAAATCTAATTATACCATTTTTCTATTATGTACGGAGTAATATAATATTTATTTAATCAAATTTAACTACCGAAAGTTACGTTAAACAAAACAAAGACAATGGGATAAAGGTAGTATCATTTACATGTAAGTTTTTAGGGAAAAAATAGTGCATATATCTACTCCCTCCATCACAAAACAAACCTACTTTTTTCTGTTTGAACAAAAATAAATTCGTCATTCCTTTTAAGGTAGCTTGTGTGCATTAATTCTTTCTCATCTTAATAACTATTGACTAAATAAATTTTAAAAAAAATTTATGTAAAAAGGCGAATGAAAAATTTAATTTAGAAGAGAAAAAGTGTTAATAACATACGGAGTAGAATGTAAGGATCCTTCAAATTATTAGCTCTTGTAGCTCAGTTGGTTAGAGCACCCGTTTAGTAAGCGGGAGGTCTTGAGTTCAACTCTCAACAAGAGCATGAATTTTAACAATTCATTGGCAAAGTTTATTTATTTTTCTTCATATTTTTGCCACTCGTTTGGTAAAATAATAATCATGTCACATTTTGTAAAAATATGTATCTTTTTTAATTTCACAAAAATTTTCAAATAAACAAGAGCATGAATTTTAACAATTCATTGGCAAAGTTTATTTATTTTTCTTCATATTTTTGCCACTCATTTGGTAAAATAATAATCATGTCACATTTTGTAAAAATATGTATCTTTTTTAATTTCACAAAAATTTTCAAATAAAGTATGTTGAAAATAACTGCATCAAACATTGCGCTGATTTCGTTTTCAAATACTTAATTACACCTCAATTTTCAAATAAATTGTATCGAAAATAACTACTTCATCCGTCCCTAAAAGATCTTTTCCTTTCATTTTTTTGTTGTCCTAAAAAAATGTTCCATTATCTACTAAAAAACTACTTTTATCTCTTAATTTTTCATACCCTATCTATCACATCATACTTTTCTTACTAATAATCTATCATATATTACTTTTACTCATCACATCAAGAGTATTTTTGAAAAATCAACACAAAAATATCTCTTCTTTAATTTTCCAAAAAGTCAATAAGAGAAACTCTTTTGCGACGGAGGAAGTATATCATACTCCTTCCGTCCCAAATTATTTGTCACATTTCTATTATCGAGACAAAATATCAAGTTTTTTCAATTCATTTTATTTACAAATTAGTAAAAAAATAAAAAATAAAAATTACATATCAAAAAAACTACATGAAAAATTCTTTGAAATAAGAGGTGTCAAGATTATTTTATTTTACCAAATAATCAATGAAAACGTAGAAATAAACAAAAGTTCTCGCGACTGATGAAAATGCAAATGTTGTGAATATTTCGGGACTATTAAACATCGTGCTTAATTTGAACTATTGTTTAACACGGAGTACAAAAGATTAATTTTAAAAAAAAAAAGAAAAAGAAAAATAAAGGTAAGCCGCAGCTAGGACATGTGGTGGATGACTTTAATTATTCGGATTCCCGAAGAAGCCAAGAAAAGCCAAGTCTCTCAAACCAAGTTTTCTATATGTACGTCCAAATTAAAGCTAGCCCATGCATAAAGGAATGCATGCATGCATATATATTACGTACAGTTTGTTAATATACGGAGTAATATAATGTGTATCATCATCATCATCATTCACCATCATCATCATCCTTAGCTTGCTTGCAGTCTGATAATTATATATATTGAAAATAATCGATATATATATATTCTATCTGATCTTAATTATATATAATTAATATGGCTACTAATAAACTTCATCATCATAAGCTTGGGTACAAAATTCTAACGTGTTTTCTGATCCTGGTTTTTGACATTGCCGCTGGAGTACTCTGCATTCAAGCTCAGGTTGCTCAGAGCAAGGTAATAATTAAAAAATATTTGCATTAAACAGCATTAAAACTTAACTCATTTCACTAAATAACACTTAAACTGTTTTTTTCCCTAAATAGTACAGAATACTTAATAATGTCCAGTGATGGTAAAATTTACTTGAATAATGACTAAAAGTGCTACATTAGGGAAAAGAACACATGTGATGTTATTTATAGAAAGTCATTATGTTTTAGTATTATTTACGTAAATTTTGCAATAATTAACTACAAAGTAGGGAGTACTATTTAATATGTTTTGGTACTATATATATTTTATGCGAATTAAATTTCACATAAAGTAATTTAACATTTCCCCGTCCGGTCGAGTTCTCTAAATTGTTTTTCGTAATAATTTACTCTTTGCGTCCCTGAAAACATGGGAGACTTTGATTTTTAATTAAGTTTCCAAAAATGTCTTTTGATGTGAAGGGTAAACGTAAGATTTGATGGGTAGATTAATAGTGAATAGATGTAATAGATAGGTTAAAAATTAGTAGGGATAAAAATATTTTTTTAATAGAAATCAGAAAAGGTTTTTGGAACGAATGAGAAAAAAAAGACAAAGGTTTTCAGAGAGGAGGAGAGTATAATATAGGCGTTGTGGTTAATTATATTGCAGGTGGGGCACTTAAAGGTGTGGATATTTGAGTGTAGAAATCCAAGCCATGAAGCTTTCAAGCTGGTGGCCGCCGCCGCCATGCTTCTCAGTCTCGCTCACTCCCTCTCCAACTCGCTTCCCGGATGCGTCCGATCCAAGGAAGAAGAAGGAGAAGCGGAACGACGACTCCACAAATCCTCTTCTTGTAACACGCAACTCATGGTTCTTTCCCTAGTCGCCGAGTGGTTTGTTTTTTTTAATTATAAGCAGTTTTGACCCACTTGATTAATTGAATTTTTTGTGATATAGTGTGGATAATTAGATTGAATTAATCATCAGGATATTGGTGGCCCTTGCATTGCTCTCACTGATCATGGGGGTGTGGGGAGACTGGGGATCGAGAAAAATATGTGGCATTCCACGCCAGCATTATCTAACGACCGGAGGGATTATGTGCTTTGCGCACGCGCTCTTCTCTCTTTCCTATTATTACATGACCGCTAACAGTAGAACCGCTACTCCAAAGGAGGCGGAGAAGAATAATAATAATAAGGCTCCTCGACAAGTAATTAGCATCGTCTAGCGCAGCTAATCCTTAAATAATATTTGAATAATGCCTACTGGCGAGAACAATGTTCAGTGATGTTAGACATTTAGTTTGAACAATATTCAATGGCGGTAGACACTTACTTGAACAATGACCAGCGATACTAAATGTGAAAATAAAAACATATGGTACTACATTGGAAAAGTCAATATGTTTTTGTATTGTTTAGGTAAATTCCGCTAATTGATACTGTAATTAGCATGTGTGTTGGATCTATCATATAAGAGTGTGTACTCTTTTCTTTCTGCAAGGCTTTCTTATTCATTGTTGACATAATTCAAATAATGACTCCTTCTATATAGACATATCTTTAATGTTTTACTCATACTTTAATATTTTTTCATAAAATTAGCTTATTAACATTTTTTTACCAGCTTATAATAACAAAAACACCGAAGCTATATATACGTCATCTTGCATATATATATACATACATACATACATACACACACACACATATATATCTATGTATGCATGCATGCATGCATGCATGTATGTATGTATGTATACACACACATTTTGGTTCTGGTGAGAATGCGATCTTAGAAGAGAAATGAGAATAAATCTGGTATTTTATATTCTGAGATCTAAGGGTCCGGATTGCATCAAAATTAGATGCACCAAAATAGTTTGAAAATGCATCACATCAAAATGCACCAAAATCCTTTGAAAATGTACTTTCTCAAAATCTGAGCGCAGGATCCAATCTGAGCCGCACCCCGATCCGATAGACACACACTTTTGATATCACATTATATCCCACAATCTTGATCCTCGATCACCTATAAAAGGATATGTAGATACCCTACTTCACGTATTCCCAATGGAAAGGCATCCAATTCCTCTAGTTTGATATCTTTGTAGTCTAATTGAAAAGATTAAGATTTCTATTAAATATCTTGTTGAAAATATTATTCATAATAAACATAATTATGTCATATTTTACTTCTATATATGTAATGTAAAGATATCGATTTAACCAAAAACTCAAGCATGTGGTTGTGTTTTCAAAAGATTTTTTGTATTCTAACACGTTTCTCACGTATAGTGTAGTCTTTTGTGGCAGTGGCTCCGGAAACATTTTTTAAATATTCTAGCGAGCTTGTAATACTCCGTGCAATTTCATTTAATCTAATCTGGCTACGATGGGATAAAGGTATTATCATTTATATCTTATTAAAAAACAATAGTGTATATATATATTCTCTTCGTCACAAAATAAACTTCTAATTTTTTGGTTTGCCCCAAAATAAAATTTTCATTCCTTTTAAGATATATGTTGTCTACATGAATCCTCTGTATGGACAAATCTCGACTAAATAATTTTATTTTTTCTTGAATTATGTGAAAAACAAGTGATAAGTTTTTTTTTGAATGCAAGTGATAAATTTAATTTGGGATAGAGAAATTATTAATCTTACATTATGTTAAGAACTACTCCTCCATCAAGATTATTCTCCCAATTTGATCTTTCTTGGTCAGAGTTTGTAATTTTGACATTGATTAGTGGAAAAAATACATTATGTTTCAATATAAAAGTAAAAAAATATCAATAGTTTCATTTTTGAAACGTAACTTTGATTTATTAATTATTTATAAAATATACCTATGTATGTATAGGTATCAAAATTATAGCCAGATATATTATATTGGAAATTGTAAAAGGTAAAATGAGATCAAAAGATTAAATCTAGATGAGAGAGTAGCATATTAGCTCTTGTATCTCGGTGATTGTTAGAACTCTTGTTTAATATGCGGGAGGTCTTGAGTACAACTCTCTAACAAGAGCGTAAATTCTAATAAAAGATTCATATTTAATTAAAAACGTTAGTGTTATGTTTTTTTGCCAAAGACCTACTTTTCTAGTTCATTTCTAACAATATTTTAAGAATTACGGTATTTTTAAATAAATAATACAGATTAATAATATTTAAAATTCTAAATTTAAAATTTGTGCTTGTGTAATTTTTACATTGCAGTTGTTGAAAAACTAAAAACCATATAATATTGAGGTTAAAATTGAATGTATTGGCTCTTGTAGCTCAGTTGGTTAGAGCACCCGTTTAGTAAGCGGGAGGTCTTGAGTTCAACTCTCAACAAGAGCACCCCAAATAAGCAATTATGTTATCGATTTACAATATGGGAGATTATTACTAATATGTTGAATTATACTTTGTCCCTAAAAGGTTGATACAATTTAAATTTTTTCTGAAACTGTGGCATCATTTGATCGCAAAATATGGAAAAAATAATTTTAGTGAGAATTTAAATTTAATAAAATTAAGTTTATTTTAAAATACAGTTTTGAAATATAAATTTTTATAATACTCAATTATTTTAAACTGTATTTCATGATCAAAGGATGCTACAGTTTGACAAAAAAATCAATTTATGGCAAACTTAGTTGCTCCTTCAGGCGAGGAGAAGAAGAAAAAGAATAAGACGCGACAACAAGTAATCACCCATGAGCCACGTCTCGCTAATCGACACATGTAATTAATTGAAAATTAATCGCTGTGTTTGTGTTGTTATATGTGCATGATCTATCATTATATCATACAAGTATTTTTTTATTTTGCACAAATTATAATACTCATTGAATTAGAAATAATTTTAGTCGAGTATCACAACCCGCAACAATAAAGTCTTTTAGAGCCGAAGAAAGTATTTCCAAAGCAATTGATAATGTTATACGGAGTATATGTTTAAGAATTCATGGATTTTTATTCATGGAATTTTTCAAGTTAAAGGACTAACCGTGCATAACACAATAACTTGAAGGACTAACGGTGAAATTTAGCCTAGTATTAATTAGAGTAAAAAAATCATGTTTTCTTTGTTGTTAACCACAAATTTTAGTTTTTGATTACGTTATTTTGTTAACATAGTATTAAAGTTGTTTTGACCTAGAAGTCATAACTGGAGATATTTCAAAAAACTTAGGAGGTTTTTCAGAGAATCTTGATTTTGAAAATGGCGCTGGCCACCTATAATCTCGAGGAGTAACAGGCCAAAACTGTACACATTTAATCTAACAAAATTTTGGCCATGATATATATGCATCCTTCTGTGCAATGTATATGCTGCAATACAATAAAAACAAAGTGATGCTTATATCGTCCCAATGTCTACATTTAAAATGTAGATGTTCTCACATTTTTCATGAGCTTGCATGTGAATATTTTCTTCTTTGTAAAATACACATTTCTTTCATGCTACAAATGTACTAAGGTTTATAAAATGAGCATGGACTTTAAGTCTACAAAAGAATTTGCCTAAAAACAAATACTCCGGAATAAAGTAAACAATCAATTAAGGTCATGTTCTTTTGAGTTGAAAAAAATAACTTCCAAAACGGCTTTAAAAAGTATTTATATACGATTAATATAGAATATCATTATATATCTAAATTTATAACATATCACCTCAAACACACCAAGGATGAATTCTTTCTTATCCAAAATTATTAGAGCTTTTTAACATATTTATTTTAATGATAAGTTAATTGAGTATGCTTTAATTATTACTCCCTCCGTCCTAAAACTTTCTTCCCGTTGCGCAAAGCGAAGAAAAATCCCAAGTTTTTTCAATCTATTTTATTTAAATATTGGTATAGAAATAAAAAATAAAACATACATATTTAAAACTACATCAAAAGTTCAACAAAACAAGTGGTGACAAGAATATTTTATTTTATCATATAGGCCATGAAAAGACACAAATAAATATAAATTCCCGTGAAGTTGGAATAGTGCTCTGGGAAGAAAGTTTTAGGACAGAGGGAGTACAACTCTTCCATTTTTTCTAATTCACTTCTTTTAGTTTCTTCTAGCACTCAAGTCTGAAATTACAATCCAAAAGAACATAACCAAAATGCAGAGTAATTAAACTCTGCGGTTATTTTAACATTGGAATCTAATGTCATACTCCCTCCGTCCCCAATTTGATTACGAATTGCGAGTTATGGAGTAAAATTTTCTACTTTTTGAAATCATTTTATTTACAAATCGGTATATCAATAAGATATAAAAATTACATATTAAAAAACTACGTCAAAAGTTCTACAAAACAAGGGAGGACAAGAATATTTTATTTTATTAAATACTTAATGAAATCGCGTAAACAAACAAAAGTTATCGAGAGGAGAGAAAAAAAAAATTGTAATCTATCTCGAGACGGAGGGAGTATTACGACATTGGACTCCAATGCTCCAGCCGGCCCAAAAGTGATCTCTACCCCTCTTAGGGTCTGTTTGGGAATAACGTTAGAGATTAGCTTTAGCGTTTTGGATAAAATTTTAACGGTGCAGATTATTTTGAAAACGCTAACGCTAAACGCTGCCCGTAGATAGCCTTTTCAAAACGCTAACGCTAATCGCTAATGTTATTCCCAAACAGGCCCTTAATCTTTCTTTCAAAGTTAAAACCTCACACCCCTTGGAGTACACGCCCTTCCAGTTGTACCCCTAATTCACCTAATTGGATTGATATTTAAGTCAAAATTATCTCATTCTTTTCTTTTTGATTTTTTACTTGATTTTTAAAAGAATAATAAAAAAGTATTATTTTAACAAGGAGAGACAAACTTATATTAAAATCTTCATTTTATTTATTTTTAAATTTCAAACATAAACAAGTTTAAATTTTATGTCGAAATATTGGAATAATAATATTGCTCCCTTAATTATGGAATACATGATAGAGTATATATAGGAGAGATTCCTAACACAACTAGGAATAGAGAATGGAAACTAACTAACATACAACATCTACAACAAATAGGATTAGGAAGCTGACTAATAATGAAACACTACCATAACCAATACTACCAGAAGTTTGACATACGCCGGTGGCTGCTCACGTCGTTGGAGAAGAGACAAGTCTGACGTGCGCCGGTGGCTGTTGGCATCGTTGGAGAAGAGAGAAGTATGACGTGCACTGGTAGCTACTAACGTCGTTGGAGAAGAGAGAAATTGACGTGCGTTGGTAGCTGCTGACGTCGATGAAGAATAAAGAAGATTGACGTGGGTTGGTAGCTGCTGGCGTCGAAGAAGAGGAGAGAAGGTTGACGTGCGCTTATAGCTGCTGACGTCGAAGAAGAATAGAGAAGGCTACTGGAGGTGCCTGTTTGACTGAAGATCCTTGACATTCTTTGTCTTTTTTCTTGGATCCGGGCAATGCCCTATTTCTTTCTTGAAGAGGTGTAGAGATATTCTTTCCTCTTTCACTACTTCTCCTCTTGGATTTGCTTTTGTGTTGTTTTTTTTTTGGAATATTTTGGGTAACAAAAGAAAAAGAGAAGAAAGATTGATAATTAGAATGAGTGATTTGAGAGAAAAAAAAGTGGATTAAGAATTGGTGAAGGAAAAAAGATTTGGGGTTTGAGATTTTGATATGGTGAATTGGAGAGCAACTATCATTTTTTTTCTTTTTTGAGAAGATAGGATTAGTTGAGAGAGTTTGTGAGTTGAGTTTTTTTTGAAGAACCATGGAGATGACAAGAGAAAAGTTCTGCCTTTGATGGTTTTTTTGTATGATTTCAACAAGGTTGTTTTCCTTTTTTTCGTTTGAATGGAGACATTAATTTGACGATCAAAAAGAAGGAAAAGAAAATAGAGGTGAATAGGGTGGAGCCGCCGTCGCCGGAATTACCGGCGGCGGCGGTGGGAGCAAAGAACTCTTTTAGGTCACCAAGAGCGGTGGCTCTGATACCATGTCAAAATATTGGAATAATAATATTGCTCCCTTAATTATGGAATACATGATAGAGTATATATAGGAGAGATTCCTAACACAACTAGGAATAGAAAATGGAAACTAACTAACATACAACATCTACTACAAATAGGATTAGGAAGCTGACTAATAATGAAACACTACCATAACCAATACTACCAGAAGTAATATTAGTTTTATTGTCTAACATTTTATAAAAAAAACTTTAGGAAAAAGAAAACAAAGGGAATAAAAACAGAAAAGTAAAAAAAAAACGAAAAATGGGAAAATTGGTTCGAGTGGCATTAGTTTTGGAAAATGTGCCTCCCTATCGAACTTCACCACACTCTCGAGTCTAGAGCGTATAATTCGGGAAATTTATCTCTAAAGAATATGAAAATTTTACAAGTAATTTTACTTTCTAATAAAAGAATTAAGACATTGATACCTATTTTGCATCAAACCGGAGTTATTTAGGGTGTTTTCCTATTATATTGTGTATTGACTTATTGTTGATAACTTAAACTCTATCCGTCCCGAAACGTAAGCAACAATTAGTATTTCGGTCTCTCGATAACTTTTGTTTGTTTACTCGTTTTGATTTAACGTTTGATAAAAAAAATATTTTTATCGCATTTTGTTTTGTAGAACTTTTGATATATTTTTGTACGTTGTATTTTTTTACTTTTTATTTCTCTATCAATATGTAAATAAAATTATTTTTAAAAAAATAATATTTTATACGTTATTCAAAATGTTTGGCGGAGATATATAGTTTGAATGATGATGATGATGATGATAATAATAATAATTATAATAATAACAATAATGAATTATAACAACAAGAATTAGAATGAGAATAATATAAAAATATATAAAATTAAATTTTTTAAAAGTCTCTTTTAGATTTTCCATTTTTTTTAGTTTTTTCAGTTCCGTCTAATTTTATATGTTTCTTCCCATTGTTTTCAGTTTCTTCCAGTTTATTTCAAATTTTTTTTAACACCTCTTTTTTTTCTAGTTAATACAAAAAAAGTTTTGACATATAAACACCCACTCACGTCCGAACGCGGAGCGAGACGAGCAGGCTTAGCAGCCATTTGGTTCATGGCGTCACGAATTCCGAGATTACCAGTTCTTCGTCATCCCCTGCCGCCGCCATTATTCACATTTTTAAACTCGACATCCCGGCGTTTCTGGAAGACCCGATCAGTTTTTATGCATTCATCCTCTGAGATTGGTGGGTTTCCTTTTAATCAAAATTTTCGGCTGCCACTTGTTTGTTGAAATGTCGCTGTGAGACTTCTCAGTATACGCTCATTTAGACCTAGGATGATTTTGAAGTTCATTTTTTCCTGCTGAAATTGGAAATTATTTTTCCATCTGGTAAAGCAGCATTGGGTTCAAGTGGTTTGGTTCTTGTAAAGTTTATTTTGTTCTGAATGTGACTGTATATTCTGGCTCTATCTAGTGTTGAGTTTCTTGAGATATCTGCTACAGATTCAACTAGGCTAAAGGGTTGCACTGATATTGATCATGAAGAATTTCATAGATGGGGCAATGGAGGTGGCTCTTTCCATAAGTCTTCTAGAATTGATCCAACTGCAGTCATAGAAATTGGTGCCATAGTGCATTCAGAATCAGTTGTGGCGTCAAACGTTCATGTTGGTTCAGGTTCAGTCATTGGACCTTCAGTCACAGTCGGGCAATCAACAAGAATATGGTATAGTTTATGCAGTATTGTGAGTTTCATTCGATGTTTTATTCGAGCGTTTAATCAATTTCGTTCCTCAATTTTTCTCTTGGTTTAAGCTAGGTATGGTGTCGCACTCACTAACTGCACTGTTGGTGATTGTTGTGTTCTCCATAGTGGCGTCTGCATTGGACAAGATGGTAATGCTGAGTCTGAGAACTTTTTATTGATCTTTTTATTGTCAACATCTGAAAATTCATTTTCTAACAGGCTTTGGTTTTTTCGTGGATGAACAAGGAAATATGGTGAAGAAGCCTCAAGTTGGTGAAATATGTTTTACCACATACTCTTTACTACATCATACTGAATTCCTCCCACCCACCCACCCACCCACACACACAACAGTCGAATAAATGAGCGATATGAAAATATCAAGATTTTACATACTCCGGGAGTATTCTCTTGTTTGCAATGTGCAGTGAATAAATAAACCGTTGTATTGTCGTCAGGGATGCATCATGTTATAAATTTATCAGTCTATAAATGTTGTTTTGGCATTGACACTGTTGTTGATTCCCATATTCAGAACCTAAAAGTGACAATAGGAAACCATGTGGAGATTGGGGCAAATTCATGCATTGATAAAGGCAGGTAATTGTGATTCTTGAAAATCAACTGAAGAATTTAGTGTACCTTGCTTTCTGAGTATTGATATTGATCATTTAATATTCGGGGTGTCCAGTTGGAGGGATACTGTTATTGGAGATCATTCGAAGATAGATAATTTAGTTCAGGTATCTCAACTTTATCTTCAGCGTCAAACACACTTGTGTTCTGGAATCCTGACATACTAAATCTTGCAGATAGGTCACAATGTGGTAATTGGAAAGAACTGCATACTCTGTGGACAAGTTGGAATTGCTGGCTCAGTAACGTACTTTGCTGACTCCCCCCCACCTCTCTCTCTCTCTCTCTCTCTCTCTCTCTCTCTCTCTCTCTCTCTCTCGCTATGCTTATGAAAAATTTAATTGGTTTCAACATTTTATGACGTTTAGAATCTCCCTTTCAGCATAGGCGATTATGTAACTATGGGGGGAAGAGTTGCTATTCGTGACCATGTATGCATTGCCTCAAAGGTAGTTGCTCAAAAATTTCAATTTCTTTAATTTACTACTCTTAATGTGTATATTTAGTTTGGGTTTATGCTACTGAGGCTAGTCCTGGCCTTGTTCTTGCTGAATCCATTTTCTTGAGCTCTCAAATCCAATATTGGCAATTGGCATGCTCTTTGGTTTATGGTTTATGCACTCTCTCTCTCTCTCTATGGTTTCTTCATTCAATCCATACGTGGTTGGTTATATAGATAAGTACTGTTTTGAACTCTATAGGTCAGGTTAGCTGCTAACAGCTGTGTTACCAAGGATATTAATGAGCCAGGGAACTATGGTGGCTTCCCTGCTGTAAGAGTTCTACACTCATGTTCTGTTAAATGCATATCAGGTTTAATTGTTGGTTTAATGTTTTTAAATACTGAAGCATCTTGCTGAAACTTCAGAAATTCTTTTTATGGATTCAGGTTCCTATTCATGAATGGCGAAGGCAAATTGCTGCCCAACGACAGTCCCCAAAATAGAGACTCATTATTTGAGAACTCCAATTGTTTATGTAAGCCACTGAGTTTAAAATTTTGTTTGTACTTTTGCAAAATGTCAACTTTCAAAAAGTAGTTGCTGCACAATACTACATTAGAATTGTGCACGTTTTTTGTCTGAAAATTTTCTGTGCATACTAAAATTTGTTCAACTTGAAATGAAGAAATTCATTGTGAGGATATGAACCCCGTAATTAACTAACCATGCACTTTATAACAAAAAAGGTCTTTAAAAGAAAACCAAAAGGAAGTTTAAAGAGAAGAAAAATGTCCTCTAAATCAAAGAAATAGATCTGAACATTTAAGTGTGTTTTTCTAAAAAAAATTGTAATAATAAGAAAGAGGGCATCATGGTTCCTAGAAGGCCTACAATTATGCACCTCTTTTTCCTTCAATTTCAGGCAAAAAGGGTTCAGAATCCTTATTGAAATAGAGCTGAACAATAAATAAATTCCTCAATATTCACATTTCTTTTTAAGAAAGGGAATATGTAGCTTACAACATTTCACACTTTTGAACAAATTATTAACACGTACTTCTTGAAATATTTTCCCTAAAAAAATACTCCGTATGATCAAAATGATAATTTTTAAAGAACGGAGAGAGTACACACACACTTAGAGTGTGTCTGGATACCCAAGGCGTAAGATTGTAAATGAACTGAATTAAATGCCAAAACATTTGAATTCACAATTTTTAATGTTTTTGAATACGTATTTGATTCCAAATATGAAATGAATTTTGTAAATGATATTTATATTTGTATTTGATTGATATTTGAATAGTTAATGAATCTTAAACAAATATTCAATTGGTGCTAGTCATAATTTAAATGATGGATTGAGATCAATTATGGACCCTTTAGCTTATGTTATTTCTCTACTACAACCTTTGTTTCTAAGTACCTTTCTAGTATCAACATTTTAGAGTCAACCACTTTCAACTTTTGACCTATAATTAAATTGAAGTTATATAGTGTATTAATTAGATAAAACAGTATGGGTTCTGAACCCCTTCTGCCTTAAATATTCTGCTCTTACTAAAATCATTCTGATTTAAAATGAAGAAAATAATTGTAATGAACAAAAGGGATCCCTAATAGACAGCCAAACGGAAATAAAAGGAGTAGAATGTACCTTCTAAATTTTAAAAATAGAGCTGAGCACTTAAGTGTGACTTATATAAAGAAGCAGGACATCCTAGTTTACAATCCACTTTAATGTAATATATGATGCAAGATTTACCCTGCATACACTCAATACTTCAGAAAGGTGATTTTTTGTTGTTGAAGGGAGTAACATTCTCCCGTTCCGTTGAGACCAATCGTTACATTGTGTACATATGCTTCATAATGCATCTTATGGTATTTGGTTTTCCATTTCAGAATGCCATACCGAGCTGTCGTGTCCAAACCAATCACGAGACTGGTCTTATGCGAAAGCCATCGCAGGTCAGCTCTTACCAGAAATACCCTTGTAGCATTATTATTCTTGTGGTAAGTCTGATAGAAGCCTGGTGCGAAACTCTCTGCTACAATGGCCCCACTGTGTCTGATAGTGATGTGGATGTCGCTGTACTGTATGCTCATGCCCTTGTTGGGGTTGAAGATTTCGATCCCCAACAGGACAGAAGCATTCCATAAATCACTTGTTTCGTAACGAGCTGTAGAATTCTCGTTATCCGAAACAAAAACACGGAGATCCGCGACCGTGAAGTCTGGATGTCTTGGGATTAGACATCGCCATATGAGGAGCGATATCAAAGTCCACACGGTGGCAACCTGAAAGCACCACCAGTAGATCTTACGTTTATATCCGTCTTGTTTTCCAGGTGCCATTTCGGGTTTTGTTGGTTTCATGATGTTGCAGAGGTAGATTTTCTGGTGTTTGATGACACTGTTTCTTGGTCTCTTTATTTGAATTTATAGACTCGCTTTCCTTCTCTTTACTTCCTTTCCTACTGTCTTAAGAAATGTACGTGTAGGTGTAAACTGTACCTTTTGAGTGTTTATGATCTGCTGTAGTGAGTTTTATCTCTTTCTTCATTTGTTTCAAAGGAAGTGCAAAACCACCTCATGATGGGAGGCCATTATCAAAACCACTCTTTACTGTGCAAGTTCTTTCTTTGGTAAGAAGAAAATAAATAATGTCGTCAGTTCTTTTTTATAAGTGAAATTTGCATTAAATAGTACTAAAACATATGTCATTTTTCAATGTAGTACTTAAATTTTTTTATTTCTTAAATAGTACTTGAATAATGTCTAGTGGCAGGAACAATGTTTAGTGATGGTGAACATTTAGTTTGAACAATGTCCCGTTGACTAAAGAAATATTGTTAGTCATACATTTATTACTCAAAAAAAGGAATAAAGTTAGTGATAAATATTTCGTGTTAGAAAGGGGAAAATGAGTAAATGTGTTTAGGATGGAGAGAGTAACTCTCGTAGTATAGCAACACTTACAGAGTCACATATTCCCTCTTGTTTTCATTGATCATTTGATAAAATAAAATATTCTTATTGCTTCTTATTTTGTAGAGTTTTCGATGTAGTTTTTAAATATAATTTTTTATGTGTTATTTCCTTACCAATTTTTAAATAAAATCATTTTAAAATCTACGGAGTTTTGCACGTTAATCAAAACAAGAAATTCTTTCTGGGGCGAAGGGAGAATATCATTGTTAATTGTTATGTATTGTGTGATTGGACTTTTCATTCAAGGAGTTTATTTACAATAGTGGCTTTGGTCATGGGTGAATGTATTGTTCAAGATTTCAATCCAAAATCAAAATCAATTTCTGAGGTGCAATTGAGGAGGAGAGAGGAGTGTGTTTGAGTCGGGACGGGGCGGGGGTTTACCGGGGGGTTTGGGAGGAGGTAAGAACCGTCAATTTTACGAACGGGGCAACGGAGAACCTTCGGGTCTTCCTATGACATTACCCTGCAATGTCATGGGAACCTTGCTGTAAAAAGAAATACGACATACCTTCAATTAACCATATTATCAAACTTAATATTATCTTTTCTGTATAATCCGCTTTTTAAAATCACGAATTAAGATTAGTGTTAATAATGAATTTATTTTACTTTAATAATCTTAACTACTCCGCATAAAATAAAATTATTAATCGAATTATTTGAGGAAGGTTCATTTTGTCAAACTAATAATTTAATTTAAAAATTAAAAAAAAAGTCAAATTAACTTGGTAAAAGGTAGTGTAAAATTGTAAGGGAGTGTATCCATAAAATCCATTCTTTGTGAGGTGAATTCCCCTGATCCTCGTTCACACCTCAAAAACCTTCTGTTAGGGCAAAAACTCTGCCTGCCAGAGGTGGAGTTAATGCGGAAATAGCTTCTTCAATTACCTGGAAAAACAAATGCAATAAACGAAAGAAAGAAAGATGACCAGACTCGCTCAATCATAAACAATTCGAAATCGAAAAGCACACACCTTTAAAAACACAGAGTAAAATCTCAAAGAAAGAAAGAAAGAGGACCCGAACTTACATCAAGTTTATATCGAGCTGAGAAATGAATCAGAAGTATCGCTTTGTTTTGAAACCGGTCCGCATATTCGACTATCTGTTACAGTTTCATGAAAACAACAATCAGTGCGGGAAAGAGGGGGGAGGGGAAGCGAATATCTACAAAGGACATTGCTACCTCAGACAAATGAGTATGCCCATACTCCCTAGCAGCCTCCGTTGAGGTTGTTTTGTCGACATACGTGCTCTGTAGAGACAAATCCAGATGCAAGGAATTTAGTTGCTCCATGGAACATCAAATCGAAAGCGAATGCACAAGAAAAACAACCAATTTGTCCATGAACAACTATTTTTATTTCTTAACACAAACATCCTAAACCGGATCATGAATGCTATATAGGATGGAGGGAGTAGAAATGTAGTATAGAGTAAAGAGGCAAAGGGAGGAATTATCAAGAAAGAAATTGGTCCTTTCTAAAACTGAAAACAAAAGGAAATACCTCAAGGTATTTCCAACAAAATAACTTGCCCTACAGACCAGGGTTGCCCAACTCTGACTCTGAGTCCCGATTTCTATTAATCTAGCAATACCTCGGAGTGTTTGCAATCGATTCAATAAATCCAGTCTTTGAGAGGGAGAGAGAGAGAGAGAGAGAGAGAGAGTTTAAAGCAGCTGCAACACTTCCCACCAGACATGCACTGGAAGGCAGAAGGTGCCCATGCACTCTGACCAAACCAGCACCGAGCTTTGTCATCCATAAAGACTAGAATTTCGGTCACCAAAATGGCGCACAAACCAGCGGAATGAAATTTCACACCGAATATGACAAAAGGATCAAATACGTGCAAAGCGATCAGCATCGACATTGAAGAAGATACTCCACGAACCGTATTGAAATTTTGGGGACTTTCAGAAAGGTTTAAATTACGGCGCAAATATATGTGTGTACCCACGGAGTCCCGAAACCTTTGTCCATATGGCCAAAAGTTTTTCATCCTTGCATATAGGCAGTACGGCAGTGGTTATTTTTTTTAATTATCAGCAAATTTGGTCATTATTATCAATGAAGAGGTTGAAGCACCAGTCATTGATCATTACACTATGTTGGTTCAAAGAATTTAAAAGGAAAGGAAAAGAAAATGGGTTTCTCTCATTTTCTATACCAAAATAGGAGGAATTTTGTTTTCCATCCTCTTAGTATATTTTGCCTTCTCATTTTTTTTTCTTTCACTTTTCTTTAACTCTTTAACCAAACAAGAAAAATTATTTTACATATCATTTTCTTTTCTCTTCCCATTCAAATTCCCTGAACCAAACGTAGTGTTAGATATTCATTCATGAATATCGGCAGGGTCTATGAACATGCTTTAAAACAAAAAGAAACTCTCATACTCTGCACTGGTGCAGTGAAGGGTCAGATTCTTAAGTAACAGGAAGAATCTTATAGGTGAAGTTCTATACCTCCATAATCAGTATCTTTGCCCTTAAAACATCGATGTTGTCACCGTCCAAAATGAAATCTGACATTGTGTCTCCTGTAAAAGCAATTTCAGGTGTTCTTACAGTGTTTGTGATCTGTGAGAAAGGAAAAAAGATGTGTCACTCATCATCCATTCAAGCGATGCTATGTGGAATTTGATTGATCATTTGATGTTTTTATGAACTGTTGCATTAAATTAAAAACACAAGATCATTGCAACAGACTTCCACACAAGATGACTTCAAACTCTTTATTTCATCCTGTCCAAGACCAATGTATTCTTGCTTAAGCTTTTCTTTTATGGAATAAACTATGTAACCCTGCATGTCACCAAGAGACAAATATGTATTAATGACACAAAAAATTGCATGTTGACAAACGGAAAGTATGTGATCATTACAAGACAAGGTTCCCTATGCACAGCTCATAGAGAGAGAGAGATGGGGGGAATACAACTTAAATGTTGATATACCGAAAGCTTGTGATCATTACAAGACAAGGTTGAGAGAGAGAGAGTGTGTGTACAATTTAGGCAAAAAACAGAAACACCAACCAACATTTTTAGGGAATCAATGGAGGCGTGTAGTGAAGATGACTCGAGGAGATATAACCTGGCTGGGTATGACATGGTAAGTTCTGAACGCCTTCACTTTTAGCTCTTTGCTTAAGGAAAACTCTTCCCCTGAAAATACATAGCACAACACACCATAAATCTAAGTTCAAATTAATATAAAGAGTGCTTCTATGGTGCACCTTGGGTGCATACCAATTTTGTGGACCTTCTCACAAAAAAAAATCTTTTTTTTATTTTTTATATTTTTTTAAAAACAAATGCTTATCTAAGTAGTAAAGAAATGCTTATTTTCCTCATATGTAGGTCCATGGTGGACCTTAGGTCCACCATAGAATTTGCCTAATATAAAAAGACAGGAAAAGCAAACTAAATTGAAGTAGCCACTATCCACTGGAGGCATTCCAACTAAATGAAAAATTAATCAGAATGCAATCAAAAAATCAATAGACTCTCCCGTATCCATCCAATAATATCTATAACAACTTAAAACACAATATGCCTAGTTATGAAATAAATAATTTGGTGTTTTTTAAGAAATGAAATATAATATTACCAACATCCAAGGCAATCAAAGTATGATTGAGTTCAGATTGGTCCATAGCTCTATGAGCTTCAAAAATCTTCTCAACACTTTCCTTAATGGCCTTTGGCACAACAATTGTAGGTGGCATCATTCTATAAAGGCCACGTGTAGCCACATACATGGGCAATCCTCCAATGTGGTCCATATGGCCATGGGAGATGAGGACAAAGTTTTGAGACACAGCGCGTTGCGGGCACTTGCCAATATCAAATGCTAGCTTTAGACCGGGAATAATGACACATGTTTCATGCCCAGCAATTGAAATTCCTTCAATATGATAGTTTTCTATGCTCAGTCCCTTTTTCGAAGCTTTTTCCTTGCCATCCTTGTTCTTAGATTTTCCTAGACATGTATTTGAAGTAGAGGTGCTTGTTTCAGGCCTCATCTCCATTGATTTTTTAAAAACGATCCTAAGATAATAAAAAAGTCAATCTTTTAGATATCAGAACACTTACATATCTTCCTTTCTCAGGCATAAAACCTAGCTATTGTGAATACCATGCATAATACCTTGTGCAACGACAAAAATAACAATAAACCTAGTATAAATCCAACCTCGTTGTGGTCTAGGGGGTCAAGATGTACGCAACCTTAACCCTGTAAAAAAACAGATTGGATGTTTCTGTTAGACCCTTGATGCGTTGATGTATTTACTGTCCAAAACCTCATAAAAAGTACTTTGTATTGACNTCCCCCCCCCCCCCCCACGACATGGAGGGGGTACGTAACTACATATAGACAATGCATTATAAATGGGTGTAACTACATTTTCGTATTGTTTGCTTGTGTAGGGATGAATGAGTAAGGCATATAATGATACTTAGAACTGTTCTGAGAATTTGCACGTGTGAAGATCACATCATGCTTTCATGACTGTCCAGATCACACCAGGCTAGACTAATCCAAAGGGCAGTTGGCTACTTGACTTTGGTAAACTCATTAATCTTTCATTACAAGCTTACTTAAGAATAATGTGTAGAAACTTATGCTTGTAACATTAAAAGACTTGAGAGGTTTTAGCACTGAAAATGACTTTCGGCAGCATAAACGTAGTCTTTAAGATGAAGGGGTGAATCTAAGATTTATGGACCATAAATCATAGATTCACCCCTTAATCTTAAAAAAGAAAAAGGATGTGCCCCGTCCCCAAGGGCTCCCTCAGACCCAGCCAGAGGGTCACAAATTAGACTTTAATCGCATATTGGAGGAAGTGAGTGGAGCTTGCACTTGATACTTCTAGAGGCGTTGCCTCTCAGTCCATTTGACAGAAACCAAACTCGGGTCTACCCTTAATCTTAAAGATTATGATAGTGAATGAGGTCAAGCACATATGATTGTTCTAATTTCTAAAAAAGCATTCCGTTTAAGAAATTTGGAAGGAAAAAAAACAAAAACAAATTTGTCTCATTTTATGGGAGAAATTTTGTTTTCCCTTCTATTAGTACATTTTGTCGAGCAGTTAGAGTGCACGTAACATGATAGACACTGATTACACGCAGAAGATTATCAAACTATCGAATATTCTGAGTACAATAGTATATTTCTGCACATTCATCCTCACAAAATGGATTGAATGAATTGAAACTTGAGTACAAAAAACAACTGCTACAATTTAAAAGAATGTAATACAAGTTCAATGGAAAATGACAAATTCTAACCTGAGCGGCCGTTTAAGCACAGAAAGCGCCGCTCCAAGCAAAGGACTCACGGCGGCCAGAGAAGAAGGGAGCACATAACTCATTGTTTCTGGTGGAATTCCGGAACTAATGATATATTCCTATTGGTCGGTTCACAGGCGGTCGAGCTTATTGGAAAAATAAAAAAACTTTTGCTTATTTATATATTTTCAATTATTATTTCATAAAATTAAATATTTTTTAATTCTAGCGATAAGTTTTATTTTTTATTTTTATACTAGTTTTTAAATAAAATGAATTTAAAATATACTGCGTTGCCTTATAGAAGTTTACTGGAACTAGGACGGACTACGGTACGACATCGAGGTGGCCTTCAAGGGGAACACGGCCGCTATTAGGCATACAAGGGGTGCATAAGTAAATTTAAATATCTCAAACAAGTAAAATTAAGTATTTTTAAAAATAGGAAAATATAACATAAAATAGTCTTTTTAACCAATAATTCCACAAGAGATTATAGTAAACATTTTAGAAGTTAAGAGTTAACATTTAGATGAATAGAACTTTATTTACTACTACTTTCGCCTCTAAGTATTTGTCTAGTTTTAACTTTTTCGGTCAACTATTTTCAACCTTTGACCTATAATTGAATAAGATATATATTGTAATAGAACTATTTTTGTATCAATATCTAATATCATTTTTATTTAATTTGAGGTTAAAATTTACCAATTTTGACCGAAAAAGTCAAAAGTGGACAAATACTCAGGGACGGAGGAAGTAGATATTTTTAATATTACGCAGTAATATATTACTCCTTCAATCCCAAAAAAATGACTTGAAACGAGGATTAAAAAAAGTGAAATTGTGTTGTTAAAAATAAAGCGAAATCATGAGAACCACAAACTTTTTTCCAAAAATAGAAAGTGTAGTTTTTTGGTATAAATGAAGAAAATGTAAAGCTTTTCATTAAAAAAGGAATTACGATGTACTCTGGGTATAAACTATAATGTATGAAACTACAAATGTTAGATGTAGACTTTATGGTGTGTGTAGTTTTCATAAATTATTTGCACAATTTTTCTTCTTAGTATGAAGTGATCTTAATATGAAATTAAAAATTGTGGAATGAAATTGATAATGTGAAATGATTGATTTCATATATTAGCTCATTTAGTAGTGTTAATAATTGGGTTAAAGGAAATATTTATAAACTAAAAGAATAAATCTTGAGAGAGTAAAAATTAAAAATTATCATAAGCATAGAGTCTATAATTGAAATATTTAAAATGTGATAATTAAACTAATGTGCTCTGTATTTTTGTTTCTTTTTTGGTATCATTCATTTTAATTATTTGAATTTTTGTTAGTATGCAATTTATTACAAATATTTTTTGTTGGTTTTATAAAATACAAATAAGATTGCTGCCCAAACCCTTGTATTTCTCTTACCTTTTGCGAAAGATGCCCTCACTCATTTTTTTTTCTTGGATCGGCCACAATCCTTCTAAAGATTCGAATACAAATTAGCTTCAAATCCCGTTTCTTCTTGAGTATATGTAGTTGAACTGCTCGTTTCAATTTATTATATCTAATTGGATTTATTTTTAATTCGATTTATTTGAAAATAATTAATACTGTATGCAGTTTGTTTTGGAATAGGAGTAATTTTTAGCAATAGATTGTCACATGAGATAACTCTCTGTATAAAAAATATGAAAATACTAAAATAAAAGCCCAAAGAGCTTATTATCTTTGCCTACCTGATTGGAATAAATTCCAATCAGGAAATATGTTGTATTGCTCATGAGAGACCGAGTGGCATTAAACCAAATGTTATTTTGTCATCAAACCTATTTTATTTTGTTCGCCTCTTGGGCATGTAGAACAATTTAATGTAAAGCGATCGAATGATGTCATAAACAAATGTTGGCAAGAAACTTTTTCATATATATTCCCAACTAGGCACCAGTTCTTTTCGATTGAATTGAACTAAAACTTGGTTCTAATTCTAACTCAAAAGTGCTAAACTGAACTTGATTGAAAATAACTCAATGGAACTACCTAAGAATAAGTGGTGAAAAGAACAGGCCCTACAGCAGTTCTTGTAGAAGCTAAAGCTTCAACACTTGAAACTCTAAGAATTGCAAGCGTGGATGACTAAAAAAGGGGGTGTGATCCACTTTATCTTTCCTGATGGGTCGGGGGAAATGAGAGTTTTACACATCGCCACGGCGCCTGATTGATGCCATGCCAGTTGTATATTGTTCACTCAGTGCTGTCCTGTTGCACCTGCAGGCAGAAGGAAAGACGTGACAAATATGAACTTGCACTATGAAACTGAGTTTTAAGATTTTCATTTTATCAGGCAAGGCATGTACCATTTTCAGTTGGCAACTTATAATCGTTGTTGCTGTCACATTAATGCTTGTGATCTAGTCTCCCTTGGGTCACTTTGATAAATCATCCAATTTGACATCTTTCAATTTACCAGCTGAATTGTTCTCTAAGTTTAGAAGAAATAGTGTACCTTCAGTTTTGACCTCATCAGCACGAGAATGACTCATGGGTTGATTTGAAACACTTTGCTCCTCAAAATAATAGACATTGAAGTTGAGTCAAATGTGTTCTTCCTTCAATGATTTTACATCAGATTAAAATGTAGTATTCATATTCTTTGGTATTAGAACTGTTGATACTATCCCATTCGATTGGCTAGCCGTTCACTTATGTCAAGTATCAACCATGAACAATGCTGTTTGGGATAGGGGATCCAGGATTGAAGCCATGCTACCAATAATCATTGCAAGAACACATCCCACTTGTAAAATGATGGAAACGGTTTGAATCCCTAACAACAATCCGCTTTTGAATGAGCCCTGAAGTTATTTTCATGAAGTTGTGGCAATCCAAACAAATGCGGATGTTCTTCATTATCCTAATGACACCCGATTTGCAGTGAGGATCATTAGAATTCATCAACACAAACATCAGAGCCAGCTTCTCACTGTGGTAGTACAGCTGTTCCTCTTTTTGCTCTTCTTCTATGTCATGAAGGACCAAACTAGTTTGAGGAATGTACCCCAGTTTCTTCAGCTGTTTTACAAGATCCTGAAGACTGGCACGAATAGCTTCTCCAAGGTTGTGTCTCTGTCCACCAGAAGCAAATTCATGTATCCTGCCTCCAATTTCTGTCCAGCTCAACCCAGGCTCCTTCCGAACTCCATGCTCTTTCATTTGCTTCCTTACAAGGCGTGCTTCATCAAAATTATTCAAAGACAAATATGTGTTTGACATTGTGACATAACCTAATGAGTTCCCTCTATCTAGCTCTTTCAACTTTGAAGCAGCAATGGTGGCCAGTCGGTGTTCACTGTGTTTCCGGCAACCAGCAAGTAATGCACTCCACACAACACAATCTGGCTGCATAGGCATCTCTCTTACTAACTTCACCGCTTGAAAAATCTGCCCAGCTCGCCCTAGTAGATCAACCATGCAGGCATAATGATCAAGTTGAGGGGCAACACCATATTTTTGTGTCATGCTATTAAATACCCTAAACCCTTCTTCAACCATTCCGGTATGGCTGCAAGCAGAGAGCAAAGCAACAAAAGTTGTCCCATCAAGTTCAACGTTAATGTTCTCGAACAACTTCAGTGCCTCCTCTGGTTTCCCATGGAATGCATAAGTTTTTAATATGGAATTCCATGACACTGTATCCCTTAATCTCATCTCATCAAAAACTTTCCTAGCCTCAGTCATTGAGCCACACCTTCCATATGCATGCATTAGTGCATTTTCAAGCACTACACAATCTATAAACCCAGCTTTAATTACTCGGCAATGCAGCATGAGGGCATGCCTTTCCGTCACGAACCCAGCACAAGCTTTTAATGCAACAGAAAAAGCATAGCTATCTGGAACAAATCCTTTTCGATTCAAATGGCTAAAGAGTGAGAGAGCCACCTCTGGTTCTTTTTCGGAAAATGCTGCCATAATTTCAGTCCACAAAACTATATCTCGACAACCACGAAATTCAAGAAATAGCCTGTAACACTCACCAACATTTCCATCAAGAAAAGAATATGCTTTTATCAAAGCGGTCACAAGCTCAACATCTAACAAAAAACCCGTCTTTAAAATAATACAATGCAGTTGAGAACAGCATCTAGGACTCCAAGAAACATCATGTTCTTTAACTCCACACAGTAAAGAAAGTACAGTGACAAGTGTGACACAGTCAAATCCCAAACCATCAGAATGCATCTTCACGAAAAAGCTCATAGCTTTGTCACATTGGCCACTCTTTTGAAAGCCTCCTATCATTGCATTCCACGTAACAAGATTACGAAACTCCATGTCACTAAAGATCTTCCAAGCTTCATTGTCACTACAGTGCACACTCATCTGGATATTGCTGGTATACATCCCAATCAACGCATTTCCCACATGAACAAAGAAACTACACCCAGTCTTCAGTGCATGTGCGTGCACTTGTCGACCCCGAAAACCATTGCATGCTGAAAGCATGCTTGCGTACACAAAATCGTTAGGTTTACATAGAGCGAGCTGCATATCCGAGATTAAACTGAAACAAGTATCGGGATCACCACACTGGGCGTAACCAGAAATCAGGGAGGCCCAAGACACAATATTTCTACAATGCATTTGATCGAACAGTTGACGGGCACAGTCCAGCCGGCGGCACTTTGAATACATGTTGATAAGATGATTGGCAGTGTAAAGGTCTTGGATGGCATCCGGGTTGTGTTTAATCATGTGTTTATGGAGAGATTGGCCGACACCAATGCAGCTCAGGCGTGCACAAGCGTGGAAGAGAATGGGGTATGCATAGGGGGAGTGCAGAGCATTCGAGTTTGGAGAGAACAAAATGGAAAGGGCTTCGTCGAGATGGCTGTGGGTTGGCCTAACGCGCAACCTTTCAAGAACGGCGTTAAGCTCCGCCGTGGCCGGAAAACATGTCGTCGTTAACATCCTCTTGCAAATCATGATATCATGCTGAGTTCCCGGCCGAAATTTTAGAAGAAAGTTTAGCCACTAAACCACACAGTACACTCACTTCCTGCTAAAATTAGAATCCCCACTCTAAAAACTGAAAAGCAAAACTTGCCCCATTTATTTTTTCATTTCCATAATCACTTTACACTCTCTCATTTAACCCAGTGGCCAGTCAAACAACACAGAGTGAGAACGAGTAGGGGTGGGTCAAACCAAAACTGAATCTAAATTCATTGAATTGTGCCAAAAAATAAACTCAACCGATCGAAAGACCAAACACCTAATATGAAAAACCAAACCGAACCATTTCCAAGTTGTTCCCTTTTCTGTTTTAGACTATGAAAACCGAATCGAAACGAAAAAAAACCAAAATATGTAAATTACAACTAATAGTTCCATGATGAGGAAAAACATTAATCGTTTTTGTTATGCTAAGTCCCCAACTTTTGTAAATTTAATGGTTTAACTTGTTTTATTTTTGCATATTTAATTGTTTAAATTCTTTTTCTAAGTTTATTTTTTTTGGTTATGATAAGCCTTCTTTTTGTCTAAATTTATTTTTTGATGAAAAAAATAAAATTAAAAGGTGCTCCGTATAAAACTCTAAATTGCTTCATTTGTTACATATTTAATTTTGAAGATGAAAGTTAAAGTTTAGAAATAATGTTTAAAACTTTAATTACATGTCGACTCGACTTCTTGAACTTTTATTTTTTATTACGAACAATTATAAGGTTATGTTGGTTGTTTTAAATGTGAACAAATATATTCTCTATGAACTTCCTTAATTTTGGGTTGTAATTCTAGTATTTGAATAAATACTTGCAAGTTTTTGTAGTTTTTTTACAATTTTTAATGTGACAAGTGTGATATACTTTTGAAAAAATGTTTTTTTAAAAATCGAATAACCGAGAATCGAACTGCAAAAACAGAACTAAAAAACCAATCTTTTCACATTTTTTTAAAAAATTCGAACCAAACCGAACCACCAAATTAACTTCCGTCTCGTCTTTGATTTTAGGGAAGGAGGTAGTATAGAGACTAAAGGATAAGGGATAATTTGAAAACAACTTCACAGTACATCATAAACCTTATTAGGAGTAACTTTTCTCGAATAATTATAATTTTCAAAATGGGAAAATGGGAATATAATCTCGCAAGAATAAAATAGAAAACGAAAATTTGAAACATGAATGTTTTTGTTTTGATTTATGTAGCTCCACCATCCGAGTGTTAATGATCAGCTAAAATAGACGGGGCATCTCCTCCCTTGATAAGCCGCCGTGATAACGCCGTTCCTCCCAACTCCGACCGGGCAGATCGCATGCACCCGGTGGCGGCGGCTGTGCCACCACGTGGACACCCTGAGTTGAATCACCGACGTCAACTGCACCTGAAAAAGCACCATCCCCCTGGACCGGTCGGCCTGGAACTGCTGCCACCGTTGGTTCGTCACCGTCAGCGTCGCGCCGCTCAGTTCTCCGGCGAACACGGTGGTGTTCTTCGGCGGCTGAGAGAACGGGGCCAGGAAAGAGGCCCCACCGATGCTCTGGTCCTGGTAGACCACCGTGAGCCGCATCGCATCGTAGTTAAACTCGATCCCCTGGTTCGAGTTCCTCACCGTGACGTTGAAGATGACGTGGGCGCCCTCGAAGCCGTTCTCTTGGGCCAGACCGGGTACGGAGAAGTATTCCGTGAATATTCTGGGCCGGTGCGGGCGGAGGTTTAGCCACAGAATGAAGAAAATGAGGCCCAGACAGGCGAGAAGGCCCAAGACAACAGTACAGATTAGTTTGGAGACCCTCGTGGTTAAGCTCTCTTTCACCCTGTGCACGTAGTAACGGGCGGTGTGGTTGCGTTTCAGATCGCCGCCGTCGCGGTGGTGGGCCGGCAGGCGGCCGTCGGAACTATACATTTTTAATGATTAGATAATTAACTAGTACTATTATTATGAGCACTGTATATGGGGAGTAAGGTTTATTTATATAATTGTGTACGTACCATGAAATGGGAGCAAACGCAATAAGGTGGCCTATGTTGAAAGTAATGCCAGAGGGGAATGTTTTGGTACCCTATAGAAAGAAAGGTATACCCTTGACAAGAAGCAACATTTTAATATTCTAAGTTGTACCAATTCTTCAAATAAGTGTCGTTTCATGGTTCGCACTTGTCTCCGTCTTAGTACGACTTAGAAAAATTTGTTCTTGTTTTGAAAATTGCTTTGCTTCAAGCTAGGATTGATTCTTATGAGCTTGGAGTGTTGTCAAATTCAAGACTGATGAACCTTTTGCAAATCTCATCGATCACGACTTTGAACTTTTTCCTTTTCTTTAGGAACCTTAGTTTCCAAATTGTAGTACTACGGAGTACATTATTTAGAAGTGCAAACAATAAAGGATTTCAATCAAAATGAGCAGAGTGGTAATTAATTAAGGGAACGTGATTATAGCTATTACTCCGGTTTGGTGCCTGTTTTCCAAAATCTAAACCATGCACGGGGTAGTGGTGCTATTTGGCTTTCACTATTCACATACTTCCTCCCTCCACAAATAAACTTTTCGTTGCGCGTTACGATCTTTAACTAAAGTTATTTTCAAATCATTTTATATGAAAAATGTTGAAAAATTTTAAAATAAAATTTATATATTAAAAAATTATACCAAAAGATCTACAAAACTAGAGGTGACATCACTATATTATTTTATCAAATGGGTGACGAAAATAGGCCAACAAAGTGAATAAAGTTTGATCTTGTAAATAGTGAACGAGAAGTTTATTTCTGGACGGAGGGAACACATACTATTCACATACATGATCAATCTTTATTTTTCTTTTCATGCTTATTTCGTTATTCATTTATAAATATTACTCCCTTCATCTTATAACAAACTACTCCGTATTTGGTTTGACTTTTATACCGTTTAAGAAAAGCGTTTAAAAGTAAGAAAAAATCAAGTTAGTTTTTTAAGGGATCTAGTTATTATTGGTTAGAAGGACAGTGATTTTTTCTTAGTCACAAATTCTTTACTTTAACAGGAATTTTTTTGGATGGGTTTATTTTTATGGGACGAAGGGACTCTATATACTCGTATTATATCTTATTTTGTACCCCCTTCGTCCTAGTTTAAATTAACTGTTTTGTTTTAGGATATTTGACTGATGTTATGTTTAATACTCCGGGGTACAATTTATTTGAGAATTGTTGTAAAATTAAAAAAAATAAAATTTACATATTATACAAATTTAACAATTTCACTTTCGAGGTAATTATATGACTTTTAAGGATTTTTTTACCCCTATGTCCCAATATTTATGGTTGTATATAAGAACATTATGGAGTACAAATTTATGGCTCGCTTGATGAGTTTTGAATATTTGATATATATTGATTTAGAAATTAAAAATAATTTCAAAATATAAAATTATGTTGTTTATAGATAATCTTGTGAACAAACACTTTCGGCTAGGGTGGAGGTCAATGTGTTACAAATTTGACATTTTTGAATCAAACTAAAAAAACTTTGAGCTTCAATTACTCTCAATTTGTATTGTATATTAGTACATTAAATACAATATTAAAAATTCTCAACAAGATAAATCTAACTTAATTTCATACTAAAATAAATTGCAACTTCTATTTAATTGTAGCTCAAAGTGCATCATGTTTGACTCAAAAAAGTCAAACTGGATAAATATATTGGGACGAAATGAAGGGAGTTTGACCAATTATATACTACCGGGAGTAGTAGTTAAGGTAAATTATTCAATGGACCTAAAGTTCATCGTTATTATATGGACCCTTAGTACATTTGTATGTAATATAAAAAAAGTTAGTTTTTTCAAAAAAATATCCACATGCAAGCTCATCCATGAAAAATGTGAGAAGATCAACATTTTAAATATGTACATTTAGGACCATGTAAGCATCACTCAGTAGTTATAATTTATGTTAATGAAATTTGCACTAAATATGACTAAAACTCAAATCGTTTTCCAATGTATAACATAAACTTTTTTATTCTCTAAATAGGATTTAATAATGTCTAGTAGATGAAATAATGTCCATTGATTGAGGACATTACTTGAATAATGAATAATTAATAATGACAAATGGTCCTACATTGAAAAATAAAAACATATAGTCCTATATTGAAAAAGTCATTATGTTTTTACATGAAGAAAGTCACGAAGATCACACAATTTTTTTTCTTAAATGGAAAATATAATTTTATTTTAAGATGTTTCAAAAAGTCAAAAAGATCACACAATTACTTTTCTTAAAAGAAATAGAATTTTATTTTAATATGTTTCAAAAGGAAATAAATTTAGTGGAAAGTCAAAATCACATTCTCCTACTTGACATACTTTTTCTCGAAATAATTAATGTTGCATTGTTACTTACCGACCAAATGTATCAATGTGGTATGTATCCCATTGAAAATTTTCTTTCTAGTTTAATTTTTTTTCGTCAATTTTTTTATCTTGGCCAACAAATTACAAAAAATATGAATTATGTTATCATATAAATTTAAGGGAAAAAATTATCTCTAATCATCTTACTTTTCCGTGCTCTTTCAAAAATAATATATTCTACTTTTTACTAAACAAAAAATAATCTTATCTTTCTGCAAGTGTGCGATTTTTGAGTTGCCGTTAACCGAATTTTTGAAAAATGCTTATTTTTGAAAATAAATGAAATATGAGATTATTTTAGGTAAATTATATTTTTTTCATTTTTTAATTTCTAACATTAAATTTAAATGTAATTTTAAAATATGTTTATAAATAATAGTCCACCAAATTTAAGTTTTTTTGGCGTGAAACTGAATATTTTTTCAATAATCGATAATCTGGTAATAATTGAACAATAGGTTATTCTACACGATGGAGCTAATCTATTTACTTCATAACTCACTACATTTTTTCGTAAATTGCAAGTATTTTTTTCATCAACGGCACTTTGAATTATTTTTTGATACTATACTATTATTATTTTTAAAAAAATAGTAGTACATAACTTGTGAATATTTTTTAATAATTCTATATAAAAGTTTTTGCAAAACAACATTACAAAAGCTGTGAAAATAAAACAATAATTTTTTTCTGAAATGGAACTTTTATTTTAATAACTCACTACATTTTTTGTTGTATTTTAATTTTTTCTAGAACAACCCACCAAAATTTTTATTGATAATCTTCTATTATCCATATTATTTTTTCTAAAATGGAACTACCTAACTTGTGATTTTTTGATAATTCAGTACAAATTTTTTTTCCTTGAATAATAATTTAAAATTTTTAAAAATGACACAATATTTTTTCTCCAAAACGAAAGTAATTAATTTTATATCTCACTACATTTTTTGTATCACAATTTCTTTCTCAAGCGATACTTTGAATTATTTTTCGATAATCCAATATTATATTCCTGCTAAAACATAAAACAAAATTTGTAAATCGTTGTATTTAAAGAAAAGTTGAGACAAATCTCTAACCAGAGTGTACTGTTATATTCTTAAAAATACAAATTTTAAACTTAAAATTAAAAAAGAAAAAGTAAATTTGTCTAAAAATAATCTCACCTCTCATTTATTTGAGAAAATAACCACTTTCCAAAAATTTTATTAAGTGATTATTAGCTTTTTAACGGTTGCCCAAAACTCGCACACATACAAAAAGATAGATTATTTCCGGTGACAGTGAAAAGTAGGATTATTTTTTAAAAAACCGTGAAATGGTAGGATTATTTAAGATAATTTTTCCTAAATTTAATATCAATAAATTTCTTTTGAAACATAGTTTAAATATTATATTTTTGTAGTATATTATATATAAATAGAGATACTAATGAACAAAATTATACATTGGAGATCATATAAAGTCACTTAAATATTTATGAACAAAGGAAGTAGTTTGAAGTGTTTCCTTATATAACGATAACATTTAATTTTAGTTTTTAAAAATTAATTTATACTATTAATATTTTATTTAAAATTTTAAAGTTAAATAAAAATGTTATTCCCAAACAATGCAAAAAAAAATCTGAGCTGGGAATTCGCCTCAATTAAAAGAAACCACGCAAATGTATTTTTCATGCATAGTCAATCGGGGATTCGGGAACTTAGGTTGTTGTTTGTCTTGTACTAAAGTCTTTTACATCACAACCATATAATGCTAAGGGTATGGAGCTTAAAGATGGCCTGGGCTATAATAGCTGATTTGGGAGCAGTAATAACAATTATATAAGCAATAAAATTATAAAGTTAATAAGTGCTCAATCCCAAACATTCTTTAAGAAAAATCTCGATCAACAAACGTAACTTACTCTCAGGTTCATTCGTCATACAATAAAGGTTTACCTTTGTATTCATAGCAACTATATCCTCAACATTTGAGAGTGCTATAGTTTCGGGAGATATTGAATTTGAATCATGTTTAGCTTTCACCAACGCACCACAAAGGGGGGTCAGATCTATGATCGATAATCAAACGTGCCCTGAGTTTATTTGAGATAAAAATCTAGAACGGCAAGTAAGTTCTGAGAACATCTCCAATGTGTTTGCTAAAAAAATGGGTTGATAAATTCTATTTTAGCAAACAAATAATTTTTTTTATAGTAGCTAACAAATAAATATTACGGAGTATATTTCAAAAAAAAAAAAATTGAACCTACAACTTCTTAGTATAAAATTTGATTTTAGCTACGTTTGAGACCAATTCAAGAACTCAGGCTAGTTGTGACTTAAAAAGACTTTTATATTCTAACATGTCTTCTCACATGTATGTAGACGTGATTGTTTCGAGTCTTACACGTAAAACCTCATATCTTTTTAAACTGGGTTGGAGTGATGTTCGAACCCATGACATTTTGGTCAGCTAGACTCTAGTACTATGTTAAAGAACCAACTCAACCAAAAATTCAACTTGTTATCGTGGTCTTGGATAATTTTTTATACTCTATACAAAATTTACTCTATTATGGCTTGGTTTGTGACTAAATTTTTTTACGGAGTTTTAACATATACCCCACAATTTCAATTTTTTCCACATGATATCAAATCTTTTGAAAATGTTAAAACTACATTGCTATTAACTTTTTAAAAAAAACAAAAATTATTCCAGAATAGGCATCATTAGTATCACACAATTTTATCTTAGTAGTGCCGAGGCAAAAATAAGCAGTCAAACATTTAGTGTCTGCGCGTGTATGACATTAAATGAATGTGAGTACCAATTTTTGTCTTGTTGTGTATATGTAGTGTACTCCAAGTGGGATTCCGCAAGCAAATTCCATGCTGAAAACGTGTCTCCATTATTTTCTTGAGTGACTTTTATGTCCCTACCTATTGTCCAAATTAAAGGTGAAATCAATATGTCTCCGTCCTCTACTGTCCATCGAATAATTTCGTACAAGCAAGTGGGCAACAACAAGCGTGAATTGCCTGTTTGCGTAAAAACGGTGCAAGTCATTCCTTTATATGCAATTCAAAAATACATTTTCTCCAATAATACCAACCAAATTTGGCTACTCCGTTCGGTATTTATTTTTTTTAATAAAATGAAACG